TACAAAAACAGAAGCACATCATTGCTGATTTTTCTATTAATGTCTTGGAATTACAGTATAACCAATATCAGAGAAGTCCAAGTATCTTGGCATGTCTTAATTATTACAAAGTAAAGAAAGAGCTCTCTGAAACATGGCTTTCCCAAGTCTGTAATCAAAACAGTGATGTTCAGAGAGTTTCTCAGTACCATGTGGAAGTCAATTACCTTGAACACACAGAATTCTGTTAAACTGGGCAGAGTGAGCAAGAGAGAGAATAAGCTGGAATAAATGGAATAAGAGAGAATAAATGTTTAAAGTATGCTTCTCTGTTTGGTTTGTGTACCAAAGTTCACATGACAGGACATGCTAGGCTTCCCTCAAGGAACATCATGCCTTTTATGAATACAAATCACCTTAGATTTGTCTCAGGATCTTTGTCCTCATCCTCAGTGTTCTGGTCTTCCATCATGTTTTCTAAATATAGACCAAGGAAAAACAGTATTAATTATGAACTTCAAAAAAATTAACAGAACCTTTGAGATTCACTGTACACTGAAAATCATGCTCTTTTATTCATAAAACTAGGCCCTTTCCACATTTCAATTCCCAGGGTGTCTTTGTTTTGTTTTAATTAAGTAAAGAAATGTCATTCTTACCTATAGAGGTCAGGTTCCTAAAGACTTCCTGCATCACATCTGTGTAGAGATTCTTCTGGGAAGGATCCAGCAAAGCCCACTCTTCCCGGGTGAAGTTTATAGCCACATCGTCAAAGGCCACCGCGTTCTAAAACACACAATGTGCGTTGGAGGCCGGGTTAGACTTCTACCACAGGAATCTGTACTGTGTATGCATGTTCACTTGCTTTTGTGATTGCCAAACGTTCAGTCCACAATTTGGTCATCTGAAAGTTTACTTTCTAATGTACTCAGTTGTCCACACACAGCTTGTCAATACCTAATTGAACTGAGACACCCAGGAAAGCAATAGCAGAGCAAAAACACCCTTCTCCTTGGTATGTCCAGGAGGAAGGTGTGTTTCTTGGTTATCCCTAATTTATCATTGTAACGTGTACCTCCAATGCATGTTACTAACTAAATTCTACCCTCTGCTCTACAAAATGATGCTAATACTTGTACTGTGAGAGTTCTTACTGGAAGTGACTACTCACAAAGGCGGACCTTTGCTGTTGTATCAGGAGATCTGGGAGGAATCCCAAAACCCCAAGTGTTAGAGTGACTAACAACAATTAAAATCCTGGGTGAAGAACGTACAGGAATTGAAGACACAATGCAGAATTCACATGGAAGTATAAGGCTCAGACTATTACAAGATCCTGAGAATTGAACAGTGAGACTAGTGCTTCCTAATGCCGAACCTGCCTCTTAAAGCAACAGCAATCAGCCAGGTGATGCTGGCACCTTAAATCCCAGCAGAGCCAGCAGAGGCAGGTGGATCTCTGAGTTCTAGACCAGCCTGGTCTACAGAGTGAGCTTCAGGACATAGTCCTGAAAGGCTAGACAGAGAAATCCTGTCTCAAAAAACAAAAACAAAAATAAAAATAAAACAAACATACAAATAACCACCAGCAACAGCAATCAAGGTAACATAATAATGACACAAAAACATCATTATATGATACAGAGTCCAGGCAAAATGAGGTCAGGAAAATGGCTTTGGTTGCTCCAAACAAAAGTCCGTCCACAGAAACATGAAAGTACAAGCAGAACTCTCAGAAGCAACTTTGTTAGAAATCTGAATATTCACAAATTGTATATGTGAATGAACACTTTAGAAATCTAAAAATGGTAAGAAAGCCTTGTACAGCTTCTACTCATTCCTGTCTTAATCCGTCTCTGACACACTAACAGTTTTAAAGCCAGCAGCTTAGGAGTTCAGTGCTGGGGCAGAGTAGGTCTCATTTTTGCACTGAACAAACCAAAAGGCTATATCACCTGGGAAAACAGACTAATGCTTATATCCACAATGTATAAATACCGCCTAAACTCCGGAGGAAAAGGGTGCAGTGAAAATTTCTTTAAGAAATTAAAGTATTTAAAAGTAGCCTAGTATAATGTGAAACTGAGAAAGCTCCATGCATACCAAGAAACTTTATGGACAAAAAAAAAAAAAACCCAACCTGATTATGTGTTAAAGGAATGCCCTAGCATGCCCATCCCTTGATCCCCCACCAAAACAAAACAAAACTGAAAGAGGTGAGCTTCTGCTGTTTTTTCTAATTTTTCTGTTTTAGTTTATGACATTCACAGAAATATTTCAAATCCAGTTGAACAATAAAGGGCAATAAAATAAACTGACAACGCATAAGCAGTACAGTCTCTGCAAAAATATCTTGAAAATGGGGGCTGGAGAGATAGCTCTGCAGTTAAAAAGCACTTGTAGCTCTTGCAGAGGACCCAGGTTCAATTCCTAGTACCCACATGGCAGCTAAGAAGAGAAGAGAAGAGAAGAGAAGAGAAGAGAAGAGAAGAGAAGAGAAGAGAAGAGAAGAGAAGAGAAAAGAAAAGGAAAGAAACCATCTAAACTTCCAGTTCCAGGATTTGGGGCAGGGAGTGGGGGGAGGTGTTAGGGGAGGTTTCGAGACAGGATTTCTCTGTGTAGCTTTGGCTGCCTTGGAACTTGCTCTACAGAGCAGGCTGGCCTCAAACCCACAGAGATCCTACTGTGTCTGCCTCCCAAGCGCTGGGATTAAAGGCATGAGACACCACCTTCCAGTTGTAAGATTTCTTTTTTTGAGGTTTATTTATTAATGTATACAGTGTTCTGCCTACATGTATGAATGCAGGCCAGAAGAGGGCACCAGATCTCATTATGTGATGGCTATAGGTCACCACGTGGTTGCTGGGAATTGAACTCAGGACCTCTGGAAGAGCAGCCAGTGCTCTTAACCTCTGAGCCATCTCTCCAGTCCCCTAGTTCTAGGATTTCTAATGTCCTCTTCTGGCCTCTGGCCTCATGCAGGCAGTACACAAACATACATGTAGTAAAAAAAAAAAAATACTGATACACATAAAATATTTTTTCTAAAGAGCTGGGCATGGTGGCACACACCTTTAGTCCCAGTATTCAGGAGACAGAGACAGTCAGATCCCTACGTTTGAGGCCAGTCTGGTCTACAAAGTGAGTTTATGCTAGACAATGCTACATAGTGAGACCTTTAAAACAATTTTTTTAAAAAGATTTATTTATTTATTAATTAGTCATACAGCATTCTGCCTGCATGTGAGCCAGCAGACCACAAGAGGACACCAGATCTTATTGTAGATCTGGTTATGAGCCACCATGTGGTTGCCGGGAATTGAACTCAGGACCTTTGGAAGAACAGCCAGTGTTAGTAATCCCTGAGCCATCTCTCCAGCCCTTAAAAATGTTTTGATGTTTGGACAGTATTTTCATTACATAAACAGACACAATTTGTCTGGCAGCAGTGTAGCACTCCTTTAATCCCAGCAGAGGCAGGTGGATCTCTGGTCTACAGAGTGAGTGCTAGAAGAGCCAGAGCTACACAGAAAAACTCTGTCTCAAGAGAAAACAAAAACAAAAAACAAAAAACAGGACACACAGCCTCCTTCCTTCAATAAATAAGAACAGATAACAGAGAAAATGGAAAAACTGATTTTTCAGATTAATGTTTTTCGCTAAAACAAACACCAAAACTAGGGAAAAAATGGGGAAAAAAATTGAGATCTTTGAGAAACTTTAGATACTACAGTCAATAAATGCTCTACTCACTAAAAGTAGAACTTTTTAAATGATATGTATAACATCTTTAATATGTGAAACATAAAACAGAAAGTCAAATTACATATGGGAAATCTTGTAGAAATGAAATGAAAAATGGATAAATTCATAATTACAGTCAGAAATACTAAAGTACTCCTCATGAGTAACTGACAGATCCAGTAGCCAGAAAAGCAGTAATGGCAACAGTGTTATTCAGCAACATTAACCAGAAGATTCACTGATATTTCTAGTTCAAGCAACAGCCGAACTGAATGACAGACCACATTCTGAGTGATCAAACATACCATCCCAAGCAAGTACATAAAAAAGTATACTCCAAGAACATGTAAGCATGAAGTAGCAATCAGTAACAGAAATACCGTCAGAAAACCTCCATACACCTGGAAATTAAATCACAAAGTGCAAAATCACATGTGAATCAAAGAAGTCATCTGAAGGAACCTAAATAGTCAAAGAAAAGAAACTTATGTTTATCATATGAAAATCTGTGTCAAATAATACAAGCCGTATATAGGAAAGGTTAAAGCATCACATGCACTTCCAGGAACTTCAGTGAGGAGCAAGGTTACCCTGTATCAACCCAGAGAAACTGAGGAGGCAACAATGAATTCACAATCAAACAGAATGAGGGGCTGGAGGGATGGCTTAGCAGTTCCAAAAGCATGCTGGTCTTGTAGAAAACCCAAGTTCTAGCACCCAAATCAGGGAGCTCACAAGTGCCTGTGACTCTAGTTTCAGGAGGATCTAAAACCTTCTGGCCACCACAGGCACTGTACTTGTGCACAAACTCACACATACACATAATCAAAAAAATATAAATTTGGGCTGGAGAGATGCTTCAGCAGTTAAGAGCACTGTCTGCTCTTCCAAAGGACCCAGGTTCAACTCACAGCACCAACATGGCAGGTCACAACTGTCTGTAGCCACAGATCCAGGGGGCTGGACACCCTCACAAACACACACTAGCAGGCAGAATACCAATGTAGACAAAATCAAAATAAATCATTAAAAGTAAATAAATAAATTTAAAAGAAATGATACAGCTCTTAAGAACAAAGAAATGAGCTACATGCAACCCTGCCTCAAGAAATAACGATTGCTAGGTATGATGTATTATTTAATCCCACAGCAAGATCCAGGTCAGACAAGACTACATAGGGAGACCATATCTCAAAAATAAATCAACATGGTTCAGCAGGTAAAGCAAATTTGCTCTATACCTGATGGTAAGAGTTCAACTTCTAACTTCCACAGTTGTCCTCAGACCTCCACGCCCACACCTTGGCATGGACGCTGCACTGCCTGGTTTTGTGTCAACGTGACACAAGCTAGAGTCACCAGAGAGAAAGGAGCCTCAGTTGAGGAAATGCCTCCATTTCTGATCCAGGTGTAAGGCATTTTTTCAATTAGTGATCAATGGGGGGAGGGCCCTACCCTTGGTGGACGGTGCTATTCCTGGGCTGGTAGTCCTGGATTCTGTAAGAAAGGAGACTGAACAAGCCACGTGAAGCAAGCCAGTGAGCAGCACCCTTCCATGTGTCAGCTTCTGCTTCCAGGACCCTGCCTTGTTTGTGTTCTCGTCCTGACTTCCTTCAGTGATACACAGGGCTGTGAAAGGGTGAGCAGAATAAACCCTTTCCATTCCAACCTGCTTTCTGATGGTGCTTTATCACAGTAGCTGAAACCCTAAATAAGGCACATGCATACACACTCACACAATAAATAATAAAAATAAATCAAATGAAACACTTGGGAGGCAAGAGGCTGGCGGATCTCTGTGAGTTCAAGGCCAGCCTGGTCTACAGAGTGAGTTCCAGAACAGCCAAGGCTACACAGAAAAACCCTGTCTAAAAAGAACATTTTACCTTATTAGGCTCTGGGCACATTCCATATTTAATGAAAAGCTGAGGTTCAAATAAACGAACAAATATTTCAAGGCGATGAATCTAGAAAAGGGCCAGTTGTGAAGAGAATAGACCTGTCAGGATCAAGGGTCAAATAAGGCCATTCTCTCACCCTAGTGCTGCTGACGGACTCAACAGTCACTCCGCCTCAGGAGACACTGGACGGTGACTCAAGCCAAAAACTTTCCTCTTCAGGTTTCTATCCCACTGCACTGTAGTGGGGGTTTCTTTCTAATCCTATGGGAGAAGGACATATGCCCAACAACTGAGAGACTCAGCGGCAGAAATACTGCTCTGCAGGCCCTCATTCACCAGCATCTAACTAAAACAATGATTCCCAGGAGTAGAACTAAGCTGAGGGGACATGATGTCCCTCAGAAAGACACACATGGTATACACTCACTTATAAGTGGATATCAGACATATAATATAGGATAAACATACTAAAATCTGTACACCTAAAGAAGCTAAGCAAGAAGGAGGACCCTGGGTAAGATGATCAATCTTCATTCAGAAAGGCAAATGGGATGGACATCAGAAGAAGGTGAAAATAAGGAACAAGACAGGAGCCTACCACAGAGGGCCTCTGAAAGACTCTGCCCAGCAGGGTATCAAAGCAGATGCTGAAACCCATAGCCAATCTTTGGGCAGAGTGCAGGGAATCTTATGAAAGAAGGGGGAGACTGAAAGACCTGGAGGGGACAGGAGCTCCACAAGGAGAGCAACGAGACCAAAAAATCTGGGCACAGGGGTCCTTTCTGAAACTGATACTACAACCAAGGACCATGCATGCAGATAACCTAGAACCCCTACACCGATGTAGCCCATGGCAGCTCAGTCTTCAAGTGGATCTCCTAGTAAGGGGAACAGTGGCTGGCTCTTTGAGCACCTCTCCTTGAACGGGGAGCAGTCTTACCAGGCCACAGAGGAAGACAATTCCACCAGTCCTGATGAGACCTGATAGGCTAGGGTCAGAGGGAAGAGAGGAAGACCTCCCCTATCAGTGGACTTGGGGAGGGGCATAGGAGGAGATGAGGGAAGGAGGATGGGGTTAGGAAGGAATGAGGGAAGGGGCTACAGCTAGGATACAAAGTGAATAAACTGTAATTAATTTTAAAAAATTAATTAATTAATTAATTAATTAAAAATAAATACCAGAAAATAAGCTGTTTAGGTGGGGCTACAGAAATGGCTCAGTGGTTGAGCATTTGCTGCTCTTGCAGGGAACTGGAATTCAGTTTCCAGTAGCCACTTTGGGGCAGTTCATAACTGCTTATATCTTTAGCTCCAAGGTATCCCTCTTCTGACCTCCACAGACAGACAGATAGATACACACACGCACACACACATATAAAAGCAGGATGAAAGCCTGGCATCTCTGACTTCACTCTGTCCACCTCCTTTATTTTGGCTCAGCCTGAACATGTAATCATTCAAGTACAGGCCACTTCATCTTCAAGCCTGAAGGCACACTGATAAATCACGGTCCTTACCCTGCAGTCACAGGATTCGGGAAGAGCAGAGCTGCACAGAAGTTAACTCCAGTGAACCACCTAGCCCCCTCCAGGTCTCAATCAGCTGAGACAATGATGGGCGGGCCACACTGGGCAGCAGCCTGCTGGTTAAGCTTGTTTCTGGTCTGCCCTTTCTCTATTTCAGCCTAAAGCTCCTGTCGAAAGACCTGGGCTGGGCGGTGTCCCTGGACCCTCATCTGTCCCTTTTCACTGTGCCCACACTGACGAAATCTCCACTCGGCTGTTCCCCACTGTCCATCTCTCTAACTGGCACACTGGGACCGGCGGTCGGAGAGTAGCTGCGGGTTTGTCTGAAGACTACTGAAGAGCCTAGAATTCGGGGGGTTCACTGTGAACCCCGGAAGCAGCCAGGATGAGGGGGAGTGGACTGAGACCCCACTTCGCGCGCCTCAGCAAAGCTCAACCGTGGCTGAGCGGCAGCGGCGGGAGTCCTGGGTCGGCCGGGACGCCGCGGGAGCCGATGGGACTCTGGGGGCCGATGGGACGCTGCGGGGGACCCGCCGCCCGGGCCACACAGGACCCGGGAGGACGGCAGCGGGAGGGCGAGGCCGACTCCAGCTACGGAGGCCTTCCCCGCAGCCCGTCCTGGTCGGAGGCGGCCAGCGTCGGCGGAACGCTCACCATTTCAGAATTTCCGTCCTCTGCGTCGTCTTCACCTCACAGGGACACTAAC